GAATCAGGGCCTCAGGTTGGAAAGAGTTCAATGTAGAGTTGTTTTGGAGTTGCTGACTTGCGCAGGGGTTATCTTTTCATTGTTTTGTTCTTTTGGGGATGCGAGGTCCGTGCATTTTCGCCGTCTTCCGGATGTCGCACGCCTGGGGTTCATCGTCGCATGAGTTTGCAACAACGGTGCTGGGCAGGACTTCTGTAAATCCGAAGTGCTCTGACAAACATCCGTCGAGCCACAAACTGTGTTGGCACGACCAATTGGCAGCGACGGCAGCCATGGTACTTGTAGTAGCAACCATGGCATGCACGAGAAACGCTTTACATTATCAACACGTTTTTGGACTGCCGTCATGTCGCTCGTAAGCACGATGAGCTTCTGTTGCGAGCATCAAGCAGCAGCTACTTGTGTCAGATGGAGATCCAGAAGTGCCAGCAGCCCCCGACGCCTCTACAACCCAGCCAATGTGGCCCGCAAGAGATGCTCGGATCTCCAGGCAGCAGGTTCCCGGAATGGAGAGGGCTCGGCATGCTTTGCGCACGGTGCAGGGTTTGGAGAGCTTACTGATGCTGTGGTGTTTGGCGGGGCTGAGGAGACAGTGCTCATTCACAGTTCCCTGCAATGTTCCTCAATATCTAAGGCGTGTACTCCAAAGGTGAGCATGATGACACCCACACCCGGCAGACACATCAGTAGAATGCAATGCGTTTGAGCTAACACACCACGTCCGAAGCATTTGAGCGCTCGCCACAAAACCACTGCACGCGACATCCAAACCCAGGGCCCGTTGTACAAAAGAACAGCTTCCGTGGCACAATGGAGCACTGCATGCCTGCAAACATTTGAATTATAACTGAAGGGCATCTGGTGGAAAGCCTCCCTTCACCGTTCAAGGATAAACCGCCTGGCCAATGAAATGGATGCGCACCGGGCGGAAGCAGAAGCCACTGCTCTTCAAGTAGCGTCTTTGGGTGCCCGTTGTTGTTGCTTCCTCGTCGAGTGAGCTCAGGGAGTTTACTGTTAATGTTGGTGAGGTCGTTTTCAAGCAGGGCTGATGTTGGCGGACTTTGTCGGGCTGGCTTCAGGCTGATGGGATGTTCTCGATGTCTTTTGCCTGGTCTGAAAATAGAAGGCCCTGTGGAATTTCCAGGACAGACACAGACCAAAAACAAGGCAGAACCCACTACCGAGCCTTAAGCCTTAAGACTGAAGACAGAACCAATCTCTGCGCCGCCGAGTCCATTGCGGAACGTGGTGAGGCACTCGGCGAAGACATGCAGGCCGGGCTCCTGGGGTTAGCGTTGGTTTCTTGGTGTCCAAAGGCAGGCCTCTTCGACATGATGCACAAGTTTGGGGCACAAGTCACAAGCCCACAGTCTCCTAGGTCCTATGCCCCTTAAGGTCTTGATTCCCGTAGCAAGGCCCCCCCGGACCCAAATGCATTTAAGTAGTCTTTTCCGGTTGCACATCGAGCAATCTTGGATGTGTCTCACCCTCAACCGACCACGCTCCAGAGCCTCGCCTGGCTTGTCCGAGACTGTTCGTTGCAGACAGCGCCCAGACCTACCAGCAGTCCACATGCCCAGAATCCCACAGCATGAATCTCCCGAATGCCGCCAGTGAGATTTGCATCCTTAGTTGCGCTGCAAGTCCGACTATGAGAGACAGAGAATGACAGCAGTGTGGCGTCAAGAGTACGTACTTGTACTGCCATGCAAGCACTGATGGGATGAAGACGAGAAGGGCAACACGACTCGGTCAGAACAGTCATATTAGCGTCCTGCAGCTACTTCTGTCATCCGGAACGGCATGTTAAGCTCTGGCCCGAAGCCGAAACCCCGAACTCCTAAGCCCCAGCTCACCATCATGCGCAGGCGCACTCGGAAGAGGCCCAGCGCATGGCGCAGGAGCCCAGACGCCGAAATTCATGAGGGCTCAGGGGGTTTAGGGAATAATGTGATTTCACTGAGCCGGTTTAAAACGGGAATAGTATGCAGAGTTTCTTTGGGTTATGCAGTGTTTCTTTGGGTTGGTTAGTAGTAGACAGCACGAAATTGACATCTCGCTGGAAGCTCCCAAACTCACTTTTTTTTGTTTTTTGTTTTTTCTCTCTCTCTCTCTCTCATTGCTTGCAGTGACATGCAGTCGGCGAGGACGCAGAAGCCATGGCCGCCGATGCAGAGGAAGATGGCCGCATCCAGCGAGGGAAACTTCGGATTGTTTGAGATCTATTTGGCCCGGGGTTACATGAAGCAACTTGAAGGCTGTGTCTGCCTTGATGCTTGGCTCTGTTTTGGCGGAGGGCCTCCGCGTTGAGCAATCTCCCAGTCGGATACCGAACAGTCTGCATGTGGGCTCCAGTATACAAGCCCTTCCACGGACAGGAGCTAAAGAATCGCGCTCTTGTCCTCAAAGATGAGGCGCGAAATAGGTGGATTCTGCTCATTTTCGCTGAGGCTAAGAAACCCGGAGGAGATGGTGGCTTCAAGTGGGTTGCGGCTGGACGCCACACTACACTTCGCCCATTTTTTTGCATAGTCACAGTCTGACCGCAGGCGCTTGCAGACCTGACTTCCAGCGAGACGCTGAACGTGGCGAGATTCAAGTTGTGATTGTGCAGGTGCTTGAGGAGTTTGGGCGGTGAGGTCTGCAGTTGTTTCGTGGGCTGGGTCACTGGCGTTGCTTGACGAGCAAACCGCTAAAAAAGTATCGAAGGAATCTGAGAAGGCGGTGCCGACCGCTGGGTAGCGACTCGAGACAGGTGAGCGACCCACTCGAAAGGGAGTCGTTTTTGAGACGGTTCAGAAAGAGGATCCGGGCGTTCGACTGCGACTTGACGAATTCGAAGAGGAGCAAATGTTGGAAGGTGATTGGAAAGTAGAGGAGCCAGCTGCTTGAAAGGGATTCGTTTATTGAGTCTGAGACGAAGGGATGAGATGTTTTGAGAAAGGGGGGGCACCACCATCAAATGGACTATGGAGAAGTGGAGAAGGCGGAGCGATCCGGTCGAAAGGGTTCAGGGAGAATTTTCCGAACAGTGTGAGCCGTTGGAATCGTGCAGGAGGACTTGAGAGTCAATTTCAGAGATTAGGGGCAGACCTTGCGAAAGACAGTATACACACTTAGTAAGAGGAGCGAACGGCTCGCAAGGAACATCGTATTTGAGAAGGATGGGGGAGATACTCGAACTGGAGACTTTTTCAGCGAAGCTGCAGCGATTCGAAAGCGGCCTGATAGTCCGGCGAACTGCCCGAAAGGGGTTGTTTTTTTGTAGAGTAGAGCAAAGCGACCAAGGTCATTGCAAAGAGGTTCACATTTATCCGGGCAGCAAGGCATTCGGGAGGAAATTGACGCGAAAGAGAAGCGCACCACTCGACACGGACTGGGGCAGTTGACTGCCAGGAGCCATTCTGTTGACATCAGAGTAACGAGCTTGAAGAAATCGCTCGAAAGGATTGGAGAACTGAGACAAGGGTCCAACCAGCTGGAGAGGGCAACGAATTTCAGAAAGAGATACAAGCCATTCCGGGGACCAGAGAATGTGAGAATCAGGAGGGTCGAGGAGCCGCAACAGACCCTTCAAAACCTTGCAAAAGACTTGAAGAAAGAGGAGACAGCCACCCTGAAGGGACGGGAGAATTTGATGAACAGGAGCTGTCCGCAGCACAGGCATCCTGAGAGAGAGGGGAGCATGTCGCTCAACAGTGGCTAGATAGTTTTAGCGAGGCGATCCCTCCAAGAATGTGACAACGAAGAGCAGAGAGCTCGAGAGGGGGAGTGTGTTTGTTCTGTTTGTCATGTGTGTGTGTGTGTGTGGGGGGGGTTATATATGGTTATACATTCTGTTCGTGCAGGCAACTTGCTCCTGCATACATACATACATACACACATGCATACCTGCATACGTACATACTTACTTACACACACATACTTACATACGTACGTACGTACGTACACACACATACATATTGTGTATAGATTTAAAAATAAATAAATAAATAAATAAATATATAATTATATATATATATATACTATGCGGAATGAGACACAGACAGGAGTGCAATGCAGGAAGTAGAAGACAACGCGGGGTTATATGCACCAAACAGCAGCACACATCAGATCACCTCTCACGGCTGTTGGCAAGAACAAGTTGCTACAAGCTACCCGGTTACCCGCAGAGCTAAATTCACCAACCAAGTCCCTGGCACCTAGGATCGTTAGCTCAACAGTGGCGCCGTTTGTGGTGTCTCCACCTCTCACGGGCCAGCCGAACACAGTCTTATACCGTCTTAAGCATACACGGCTTATACGCAGCTTCAGCCTCATGCTCTGTCTGCGGCAAGGCGTGAGCGAGTCTGTAGTCGGGATTCCCTGCCAAGGCCGTCGCTTCGGAGCTCAAGGACACATCAGCCTGTTCCGGTGTTGTTGGGGCCCGCCGGTATGGTTGGAACTGTGAAGTTGGAATAGAATATCGACTTAATGCCGCGCTTGCAAGGTGCATTTAATTTGAGAACTCCCGTTGGCATCGATGCAAGACGTACGTGCAGATGCTTGGACGTTTGGAGCGGAAGTCTTCAGATACACGTCAAGGAACCTACGGCCTACAGCCAGGCTTGCCGCAGTTTTCCCAACGGGTTGCAGTGAACGGGAATTATCGCCAGGCATGTGACGAAGATGGAAAGTTTCGCTTCATGATACAAGCGAAACGCCAAGACATGCCTGTACTATTTCGTTGAGGTGAACGTGAACTTAGTGATCGCAATAATGATGGCAGTATGTCAAGCTTACAACACAATGCCATAAAAAGCTGCTGCACGACATGTTTGGTGACAAGTGTAGCACATGGCGCGTACGATACTAGTAGAAACAGATTGGGGGTCCGTCCCGTTTGTTCTTAGCATGGACCAAGCACCATGCACAGTAAGAGCTCGAAGCACCAGCCGCAGGATTGTGCCAAGCGCATAGCTACTCGGGTCTTGGACTTGGCTGCCGAGACTGCCAGGTCCATGACAAGTCAGAAACTTGCCCGCAGCAGGGGTCCAGTATGTTGATGGCTCCTGGCCTCGTAGGACAGTTGAATGTAGCAGGCCAGTGCTCAGGGCTGGAAGCGTTTGCGAGGCAGCCTACAAGGCATGCATGGCGGTTGTGATGCCTTTACTATGACGTGACCCGGAGCATCGGTGCAGCTTTTCCAGTGCGTATCTTCGGCTTAGACGTCTACGACTTACGAATCCCGATGCGATTGTGAAACTAAGCGACCCCTTTTGATTTTGGGCACCCAAGGCCATAAGCTGAACCGTGTCCGAGTGTGAACCCCGACACTTCTACATGCCCGAGCACATGAAGCCCCGGATGCATTGAGCCAGGATATTGGCCTTGGTCCCTGATCTCTTCCTCGCCTGTCTCGAGGCAGCTCTGGACATCATCACAGGCCACTGTGGGCTTCTCATGGCTTGAGGGGTTCGGCTTTATAGACTCAGGGCTTCAAGGAGTTCTGGGGTTCAGGCTGTCGAGGCCTCTACAGTAGGTGGCTTGTATGCTGCAGCCTGCAGGTTTCGGCTGGATCATCACAGCTGCACGGTTGACCTACATGCTGACCAAGTGACCTGGCAGCAACTTCGAACTTAGTTCCTGAAGCCGAGAGTCGCGAAACTCAAGGGATCACCTGGATTTCTCGAGTCGATCGGGTGCTGGCTGCTTGTACTCCGTTGTGTCTCAGCTGTCTCCGGATCGTCGTCAGTGTTCAGCAATGCACATGCTATGGCCCTCCTTCACACTCCTGATCAAGACTCTTCCCTAGTTCTGGCCAATGATAGGTTAGTCACGGGTTCTGACTGCGAAAGTCGTTTGAGTGCCCAGCCCGGCGACGGATCAGCCAAGATTCAGGCCCACTGATGCTGACGCCCTGCCCTGCTCTCATGACTTAGTTTTGTTGCCGTACCATGGTGGAGACTCCAAGCCTTTCGCGTGGTGCCAATGGGCAGGGAAGCGAAACCATCGACTGTAGCGAGCTCGTAAACTTCGCCGCTGCCGTGCTTCTTGTAGCTTGTACTTGCCTCGCGGCATCTCTTCCTAATCGATCGAAGGTAAGTCTGCTTGCAAGTCGTAGCGAGAGCAACCGTGCGGCATTGCACCTTGAACTCTGGGGCCAGTATGTCTCCCCATCCTAATTAATAGTCTTCGTCCCCGCCACCAGCGAGAGGGAAGAACAAGCATGGTGGTGGGTCGCTGGCGGTGGCTCTGGGCGCAGTAGTCGCGACGGACACAGCTGTCAACATGTGAGGAGTCGCGCGAGCAATGTGGAAGACAATCTTTCCAACCGAGGGCGTACATTGCATGCAGCAATGATGCAGCACTACAGCGGTGGCATGTTAAGATAAACTCTACTGATGAAGACCGGTACTGCATGCGCTCTGGATTCGTCCTCGGGGTTTTACGTCAAGCCTGTCCTTGCAGGTACGCAATCCGGAAGTGGAGAGAGTGGCGAGATAAACGTCCGCAGAAGCTGTGTGCCAAAGCACCACAACTGGACTGCTGTGTTAACAGCGTGATGGCCTGGTACGACAGGCTTCCCGGCTGCTTATGTTTAGTTCACGGCTCAGGGGTGCAACGTCACTAAGTCTGAAGTATGCTATCGATTTGGTTTCATCTTCCCTACACATACATGCCTCCGAGTCGCGCTGCAGCGACGGGCCTGCCGCTGGAGACGTGACACGCCTAGTCTTGCATCACAATCCGCAAACATTTTAAGTTCGTGGCTGGCTGCCAGCCGCCGACAAAAGCTTACCCATCTTTTATGCGAGAAACTTTCCTCCTCGTTCTTCAGCCCAGGCAGCAGCCTTATCCCCCTGTATCCAAAAGCTCAGAAGGAGGTTCGAACTGCGGTGTCCCGGCAATCTTGGCCCCCAGCCTGCAGCGTAGCTGGCAGGGTCATGTTCGACGTTCCCGGCAATGGCGCCGGCAGTTCAGGCTATGGACAGCTGCGCCAGCAGCAAGCACAAATACTTGTATTGCCACGATCCTTTCGAGTCGAAGAACAAGCTCTTCACTCACCTGCGGAACTCCGACTGCTCGATCCAAGCCGCCGCTGATGGTTTGAAGATTACCAAAAAGCAGGAACGAGTCGCTCTTATCCTTGGGGTGGCCTGTGCCGACTGGCGGGCACCACTTTGGCGTGCCCTGGATGCTGCGCGTGGGGAGGGGGTCGCATCTTATGCTGCCTCAGACGGGCCGCCCGGAGCTGCTTTTGCATCAGATCGGCACGGTTGTGATCAGGACTTGCCAAAGGCCTGCGATGTACTGAGCTTAACCACGGAAGTGGTGCCGGAGGAGGAGCGGCAGGCGTGGTGTGACAAGGCCAACGCAGCCCTGCCCGAGGAAATGCGCATATTTGGCCGTTCTGGCCCAATGCCTCCAGACTGGCATGCTGAGAGGGGCATCGTTCGAAGATATTTCGCGTGTCTCCTGCCGATGCGGCTGCTTCTGGTCAACAGCGACGTGGATTCTGAGGATCCGGAAGTCGAGTCGGTGAAGGATGGTCCAGAAAGCGGCTACAGCACATTCCCGGCAATCGCAGCGAGACAACAGCACGCAAAAAAGAGCCATCAGGCTGGTTGGGGTGACAGCGCAGACGGTGAGAATCTGTTGGGCAACTTCTTCCGCTTGAAGGAGATCCTACGGAAGATGCAAGGTGAGCATCTTTTTCATAACTTCTCGGAGCTGCCGCTCAAGCCCGGCGATACCATTGCCAGACGCTTCGTCTACAGATGCCGGGCAAGCGTGGATCCAGCAACTGGCGTAGCTGGCTTTCATGCGTCTGCAGACAGCTTGGTGAGAGGCCAGCTCCGCGCAATGTCTGGCTTGGCCGTTGCCTTGCAGCACGGTCTCTTGCCAGACAGATATTTGGACGACGCCTTCAGCGAGGATCAGCTTCTTCCGGTTCCCCTGCTCCCGACAGGCACGGAATTTCAGACAGAATGTATTTACAGAAAAGACTTTCACCACCTCCTTCAGCCGTTCTTCAAGTGCGAGGAAGCCGCAAAGTTCCGGAGGAAGGTCGAAGACAGGATCGCAGAGACCGTTCTCAGTGGCGCCTTTGAGAAATGGTTCCAGGACGAGTTGGTTCCCAGCACTGCTAAGTTGGCGCTACGTGGTCCACCTGGGCAGCCTTTGACTCTTCCGAGAGACGAAGCGCCCGCTGCGTACAGAGAAGTCCTTCGTTTACTGCGTGAAGCTGAAAAAAGTGGAAAGTGGCCACCCTGTTCAAAGGGCAGGGAAAAGGTCATCAAAGACTCCACTCTAGCAGAACACGGAGGTGCCGGTGGTTCTTTCAGTGTTGGCTCAATGCCAGATGGTCTGGATGCTCCGAACGGAAACCGCTTGTTCCCAGAATTAGCGAGATGCGCGTTCCAGCTGGAACGGGTTCTGCGTCCAGACCGCAGAAGCAGCACCATCGCCATCAACAAGCGAGCACAGTTCGTGCCACACCTCGACTCCGGTGCTGGTGCAGGACAGGGTATCTCACTGATCGTGGGTCTTGGTGACTACTCCGGTGGCGAGCTGGCTGTAGAGGGCAACACACATGACATCAGGTACAGGCCGCTCGAGTTCAATGGGTGGACGCAAAGACATTGGACACAGCCCTTTGTGGGAGAGCGCTTCTCCTTGGTGTGGTTCACACCTGCAGGCTGTGAGGCAAAACCTGGTCTGGAGCTGTTCGAGGCTCTTGCACGTAGTGAGAGCATTCCTCTCGCTGTGCCGTCGTCGCTGTCCACGCCTTCCGCATCATGTTGCCTAGCTCCGTTGACTCGTCTTCACAATGGTTTGGAGATCCCACGCCTCGGCTTTGGGACTTGGCAGCTTCAGGCCGAGGACTCGTCCCTCTCTTGTGAGAAGGCCGTATTCATGGCCTTGGAAGCAGGCTACCGCTTGATCGATACTGCATCCATCTACAAGAACGAGACGGCTGTGGGTCAAGCCCTGCGAGATTGGCCTGGAAGCTCAAGTGTCTTTGTGTGCTCAAAGTGTTCGCCATACGAAATGGGATACCAGAGAGCATGGGATGCCTGCCACAAGTCTCTTGAGCGGCTGGGTCGAGACTGCTTGGACTTGTACCTCATCCACTGGCCTGCGTTGCCCAAGAAGCCGCATTCATCTCCAGAGCACCGCCGTGCTCGAATCGAGACTTGGAAAGCGCTGGAGGACCTCTACAGGCAGGGCATCGTTCGAGCGATTGGCGTGAGCAATTTTACGGCCCAACATTTGCAGCAGTTGGAGGAGGATGGCGCACAAGTCATGCCCATGGTGAACCAAATTGAAGTACATCCTTTGTATGTGCCGACGACCACCATTCAATTTTGTCGATCAAACAACATCGTGGTTGAGGCATATGCCCCCCTCGGTGGTGGCCCTTCGAGCAACGTTGGTAAATCCACTGGTGGTGAAGTGGACGGCACAAAGCTTCTTCTGGGCCACCCCGAAATTGCCAAGATCGCCAGCGAAACCTGCCGAACTCCTGCTCAAGTCGTCCTGCGCTGGGCCTTGCAGCAGGACTTGCTTGTGATTCCTCGCAGTAGCAACGCGGCGCGGATCCGGGAGAACGCGGCCCTGTTTGACTTCGAGTTGTCTGAAGATCAGCTTCGCCGAATGGAAGCTTTGGCCGTCGTTGGTGGACAGAAGTTTTGCTGGAATCCGTCAAGCATTGCATAAAAAAGCAGAGAGTATAGTCGAGTTGGCGTAGTTGGACACAGAGATCTCGTCTGGCGGAGTCCGAGTTGCGAGAGCGTAAACCCTACTGATGGTAATTCTCGAGGCAAGCTTTGGCGCAGCGGCAAACTGAAGCCGAGTTCCGGGCCGACAGCCAGGACGTGTCTGGCTTTGGTTCACAGGCTTGGGACTTGGATTTCAGGCCCCTAAAACCTTTCCTGCCTGGTGCTTAGCTGTTAGATTGCACTGTTTGGTTTGTTCTCTTGTTGTTGCTGATGTGGTGATACGCAGACTCGGGCCTAGTGAAGACCACATGAGCTTGTAGCGAGGTTCACGCTTATTGGGCCTACGGTTTAGGGTTATACCCCGAATGCCCTGTATACCAAGGCCCTGAAGTCCAAAACCCTGAACCTTCCAATCACTGAAGCCTACCGACATGCAGGATCTGCTGGCGCAAGCTTTGCAGTTGCTGGGCCCGGTTTAAGGGCACAAAAGTCTGCACAGACACTATCCTGTGCAAATACACTATCTATATCGTTCTCTACATGCACACATCTTCCTATCTTCGCCTGTACATGTATAGGTATGTGGGTTAGATGAGTAGCCGGGAGAGGAAACTACAGTATGTAGGTTTAGGGAAACCAACTCATACAGTAATTGAGGTAGCAGTCGCGCGACGATTTGGAATGGTCTGACAACCCAGCAAGTCGAAACATCTGTAGTAGTAGTAGTAGTAGTAGTAGTAGAGGTAGTGATGAAGCAGATATTCTGGATCCTATCCAAAAACGAAAATCTTGAACACAAGGTCTCCGAACTCGTGCACGCCGTGGTCTGTCACGCTTTTTGCGGAGCCACCGGACGACGAGACGCTGAAGGCCTGCGCACAGACGTGGAAATGTGCTCATGCCTTGCGTGCGGATTGTTTAGATTCTGTGATGTTTGTTGTGAAGTCGAGAAATTGCTGAGCCGCGGCATGCCCAGCGGCAGAGCACACTCCAGCCCTTGCCACTTGCAGCCTTTGGCGAAGACATGCAGCTGTTAGACTCCTTGATGTGCTAGCCTCGCACATCCGGTCGTGGAGATCACGCGGTTTTGACCGAGTAGAAGTCCTGCAACCTTCGCCGCAAGCACTGGGAAACATGGGCAGGTTCTGCTGGCTCGCGAGATGGAGCAGGCCGGACTGGAGTTCCAATCGAGCCTCCGGTACCCAATATGGTAGATGACTCCGGATCATATTTCATTACAAGACCTCTATATTTATATTATGTATTATATTATATTATATATATATATATATATCTGTGTGTGAATACTGAAAACAACGTTTTTATCTGGAAAGATGGGTCCGAGATGAACAGATAGATCAATAGAACAAATCTTCCAAGAACCTACCTACCTAGCTACCTAGCTGGCTAGCCACCTAGCTAGCTAGCTAGCTAGCTAGCTACCTACCTACATACATACATACATACATACAGACATACATACCTATGTTTCTCTATTAGTGCGTTGTTATTGGTTGTATTGTTCTACTGAGTGATTGAAATTTCTATGTCTCGAATAGATCTGGATAGAGTGAGCGTTTGGATCGGATGAACAAACTTGCCCATGCCACAAGAGGAGACAAGACTGCGCTGAAGCTACAGTCAAACTAAATGACTACTTTCGCACACACGAAAGATTGACAAACAAGCTGCGAGTTGCAGGGTGCTCCGGGTATTTTCACGCGAAAGATCCGGACCCACCTCTCTCTTTTCGGTGTGACCAGCGGCTGCTTGGCGCATTATGCATGTTGTGATTGCCGATATACCGGTGGCCATTGCTGGCAACTTACGATTTCCGGATTCCTGTAGCAGCTGCAATTGGACCGACCGCAGGCCTCGTTTGTCTGGAATGCATCACAACACACCGCAGAAAGTCGCCAAATGTTGTTGGTCCCTCTCGCAACATCTGAGCAAGCATCAGTCATCCTGTGTTTGATCGAAACCCCTGCCTCGAGAGAGTTGCAGGTTGGTCCGTCCTCAAAAAGGAAGCCCGCCTGGTCGTGGCAAGGTCGACCCCAACCTTTCATGGGATGCTCGAGTTGCAGCATGTTTGTCGACAATGGGATGTCAGGGTTGTAAGAACCGCTGACTGCAGACAAGCTGGCAAAGGACTTCGGGCTCGTCAACCGTAAGAGCTCAGGATCTTGGAAGAATCACCAGCTGTAGGGGTTCCAGCCTTTTTCGACTTCCAGTAAGGGCCCTCATCGATGTTCTGAGCAATGTTCGTAATACTAGCGCGGGCATTTTGCTCGCTTGAAGTTCTGGTGTGCAGGTCGACCTTCATGATCGAATGGCCGCGGAAAGAGGGCGAGAAGCATGCAGAGACTGTAAGGTTCAGCACAAGCTGCGAGGACAGAAGGGAAACACAAAGTTGGGCCCCTAGTTGGGCCCTAGACTGCTCGTAGGACCAGCTACTGTAGGGAGAGGGCGGTATGAGTTGAAGTTTTTTTCTACCCCATCTTTGTTACTGTACAGCGCGAGGTGCTACCAGTGATATGTTTGAGGACCCTTGACATGAGCTGCCGACTCTAGGTGCTGTTAACGAAGTGCAGATGTCAAACAAGGCAAGCTGCTGTTGCCTTCAAATCCATGAGGGTTTAGGGTCTAGGGATGAGCCTAGGCCGTTGGGGTTTGCATGCCTTCATTGTTGGGGTTCTCAGGTTGCTGGCAGGCTGCTAGTTTGGAAACCCTGAGGCTCCAAGCCTACTAACGAAGCTTGGGAGTTCGAAGATTCCTGGGCGATAGAGACTATGTGTTTCCACTTCTTCAGGTTGACCAACAGTCCACCAGGCAAAGTCTGACCTGGGGTATGGGAGTTTGGTCAGGTCACGTGCGTGTGGGAGGAGTTGGGCAGAGGTGGCGACTTAGGGCTTGGGAAACTTTGAATTCGAGCTGTTGGGGTCCTGGCTGCTCGCCCGGAAGGACTTCATTCCCATCGGTGGAAAGGATTCCCGCGACACCAAGGGCCTCCGTGCGAAGTTGGCCAAGGCGGTTCCACTGGGAATTCGCTTCAAGCTCTTTGGCAAAGAGTGTGGTGTCGGCTTGAAAGAAACAGGTCCGATGTCTCGTTGGCCCTTCAGGGGACTAGCTTCAGCAGCAGGATGACAGAACGGGTGCATGCAGATATATAGCTATGGCTGCCACTTCAGGCCATACTCATATTAGGTATCTGCTGACCATCCGCACGCATCATACGGGTAGCACGGTAATTAATGTAGCTGCGGCTGCGGCACTGTACCGAGGTTTGGCGGAAGTAAACTCAAGAAGAGGAGCAACTGCTTTGCGTTCTTGCGAAAATTCCGTAGTACAGTGGTAGTCGTCGTTGCCGTAGTAGTAGTAGTAGTAGTAGTAGTAGTAGCAGCAGTAGTAGTAGTAGTAGTAGTAGTTGTTGTTGGTGTTGGTGTTGTTGTTGTTGTTGTTGTTGTTGGTTGTTGTTTGTGGTTTGTGGTTTGTGGTTTGTTGTTTGTTGTTTGTTGTTTGTTGTTTTTTTTTTGTTGTTGTTGTTGTTGTTGTTGTTGTTGTTGTTGTTGTTGTTGTTGTTGTTATTGTTGTTGTTGTTGTTGTTGTTGTTGGTTGTGGTTTGTGGTTTGTGGTTTGTGGTTTGTGGTTTGTTGTTTGTTGTTTGTTGTTTGTTGTTTGTTGTTTGTTGTTTGTTGTTTGTTGTTTGTTGTTGTTGTTGTTGTTGTTGCAGTATCACCAGCAAGCAGCAGCACCAGCAACAGTCGCACTAGTAGCGGTCGTTGTCGTACTAGCTACTCGTAGTAGTACTGCAGTGCCAGAATGCGCAAGCTAGTTTAGAATTGACAGCTTTTGCAAGGAAGTTGTGAACACAAAAGCATCCAGTACTCGTAGCAGTCCGGAGTTGTAGACCCGTCCTTCCGCCTGGAGTTTGCAGTTCTGACGTCAGGGCACGTTGGTTTAGACGCGGCTTGCTGCCGTGCTTCAGAGGGCTGACCGTCCCTGCTTGAAGTGACTAGTGATGTCAACCTCCTGAAAGGCGCAAGATTTCAGCCTCAACGTCAAAAGCCGCAGGAGCTTCGAGATGACGACCGAAGATGAAAGCATGTGCTTTCTGGCGAATGCAATGTGCCGAGCCGCCTGCTATCGGCCAGAGGATCGCCCCGCCACAGTTAATCTCCTGAGCATCTTCTTTGACACGGACACAGGGATGAAGCTGCCCTGCCTCCCTTCCCGAACGCAATGCTTATGACACACGTAACCCCAACACAGGGAACGGACAGACAGGACAGGACAGCATGAACTTATTCATTGCACTCGAGCACCCGAAGGAAAGCGTGTGTATCATGCTGCACGCACTTTGTCAAGCTCATGTGTGCTGCAGACTAGCAGCACACGATCATGCGAAAGAAAGAAGTTAGCCTTTCTCTCCGGAAACTACCCAAGACCTTGCAAATCTCCCTCAAGCTGCTAGGCTTGCGACGACTACCTTGACCCCGAGGGGGTGGTGGACTTGCAAGGGTGCCTTGGACGGTGTGTGTGTCACGGTCTACTCCCCTGCATAAGAGGTAAAAGCTGAGTGATAGTATCGCTCTTGAGTTGCTTTGTTGGTGTTTGCTGTTCTTCCTTGTTTCCGCGGGATATGGCCGATGACGATGTCTGGGAGTCTCTTTGGTCTTGTGCTTCAGGGTTGTACTGCTTTGAGCTCTGCAATTTTTTACGAGACCACGAATCCCGGGTATGAGGACTTGTATCCGAGATCTAGACTGGTGTCTCGGAGGCATGTTGACGTCGTGTTTCACCCTGCCGCACAGCTTAGAGACCAGCAAAGCACAAAATCAGAAAGTATAGAAACCAACCCCCTTGTTTGAATTCAATAACATGCATGGGTGCTTAGTTGGGCTTCTAACAATCATAGCCGTGGAGACTGTCAGAGGCACCTAAATCCTAAACCCGTGGCATCCTCAAGCAGGTTCAGGATTCGCGCCGGGAGGGGTAAATTCGCATTGGGGAAGTACCGGTGGATAAATGGGCGGCACTCACTGAATCTGAGGCACCACGGGTGCATGGGCGGCGGGTAAAAGTTTTGATTGGATGGCCCAGTCGCCACCACGACATTTCCTGAGAAGTTGTATCCCTAAGGAGCCTCTGACAATTCATTCACGCCAGCGGTCTTTGGACACTCTCCTGGCAGGAAGGCGGCCCAGAATGCCAAGAACCTGTTGAAGCTTTGCGCGCCGGTTAGCGGCCTCGCTCGGGCAACCGGGGTGAAGCCAAGCAACTTCAGTTGCTTGGAGCT